AGCCGGGGAAGACTCCACATGCCATGGAGCAACTAAGTCCCAAGTCACAACTACTGAAGACCAAGCATCTAGAGTCTGTGGTCCACAACAGGAGAAGCCCCTGCTCACTGCAACTAGAGAAAATACGCACGCAAAGCAACAAAGACCCTGCACAGCCAAGAAAAGAAAGCACTGGAAAGTCAAAATTACAAATGCAAGCTCTGAATATTTCTTGCACAGAACAATGAATGGCACTGAAAGAAAAGTTAATTTCAAGCTTCAGCACAAGGTGGTCACTACAGGACTATCCTCACCCACAAGTACACAACTTCACAATGTTATAAAGCACGTGAACATACAATTTCACATACTAATACATTTTATACATGGCAAACAATGTCTAACTTTACAATTCCTCAATGCAATGTGTTAGAAAAGGATAGGGTAATTTAAAAATATACAGTAAATCAGCATACAATTGGATGATATTCTATTGGGAACAAGTTTAATGATATCTTTCCCTATGAAGTAGCCAAATCAAAGGATGCATGTTCCTTACTACTTAAAACATTTTTACAAGAAGGGTAATAATTTGAGTTACTTTTACTGAAATGCCTTTTACCACACCACAGAATTTTTTCATGTTCTCTCTTAAGATCTTTCATACTCCTTTGATCCCATCCTGTTTGTTAACCTCCGAGAGTAATATATGACAATCTTTTGATTGTTGTGGTCTAATGGTAAACTCAATTATCAAACCTCTCTGTAGAACATTCCTGTGAAAAATGTGCCCGATTTTATTTGAAGATAGTTGTTAACCTGACACTATAACTTTAGCCAGATTAAGTACAGTTACCACCTATCACAGGACTACTCATTCAATTACCTCCTATCACGGGACTACTCATTTGTATTAGAACAATGGACGTCAGGGAGCTGGCACATTTGGCTACCACCAAAACAACTCATACAAAGCACTCCCTGCAAGCCAGCCTGTGCTACAGGTGACGTGTCCTTAAAAGCTTAACACTGTAAATAACAGGAAAAGTCCTTCAGGAAAAAAAAAGTTGTGTAAATGATCTGAGAATTCTGTTTTTCTCACTGGTAAGTTTTTTCAGTGTTTTAAAAAAATACAAAATTTGAACACCAAGTAGTAAAACAGTCATTGCACTTAGTAGTTTCATCTGAAGGCAAACTTTTAAAATAAACTCAAAATGACAGATATTTTATGAGTCAAACTGGCTTACGATATTTAGTCAAGAGAACATTCTAAGAAAGATACTGTTTCTGGCTTAGACTCTTTTACCCCCAGTCAATATGACACTACAGTTTAGCATCACAGTAACACAACCTAGGAACACAGGTACTCAGATTTCTCTACCCTAGCATCATTGGCAAGCAGACATGTCAGTGAACTCAGAAGTCTGAGTAATTCTCTGCAGAGTGGCGAGGATGTGGAATCAGGGAGCTATCTCCATTTCCGATGCTGGCAAAACAAAAGAACCCACAAACTACAAGAAGTCCTGGTTCCTAACAAAGGTAAACAACTGTAAAATCAAATGCAAAGACTGGTAGTCACTGAATCTGTGCAAAACAGATTTCACTTGAATCATCACCACGTATGAAAATAAACATGGAGACAATGGAGCAGGGTTTAACAGTAGGAAGGCATGGAAAACAGGGACTGGACCTACTCTGGGTGCCCCTGGAGGCTAATCCAGTGCAGTATTTCACGAAGAGTGGTTTAAAATAAACGTGAAGTGAAAGCAAATGGGTGATGTGTCACCTCTGGGTCTTCAAGAGGATGTGATTAGAAGGCAGGTAAGACACAATTGGTTTCAACTGGACCTAAAGAACTTCTTTAACAAACACTGATAAAATGCTAGACTAGATTACTGGTGACTGGAATCACCATCTCAAGAATTTCAAGGGGTAAATAAGCCAGGACGTTTGGGATATTCTCTTCAGTTGAAAGCAGGCAGCCCAGGTAATTCATGTCACCTGTAACTTGATTATTCAGACACTGGTACCTTTAACTAGTGGGCACTCTGAAGAGATATAACTCATTCAAGAGACAGGATATGTCCGAGTCCCACTCTTCACAATGCAGAGGAGGAAAAGAACGAGAACAGAGAAGCAAGTGCTCTGAGATACAGACTGTTGATAAAGGTGGGATGCGGTGGTTCCATATGGGCATTCAGGGCTGTTAGACTTGAAGAGCCTCCATCTGACACCCGGTGCCTTGACGGCTGCGGTTGTTAAGACTGTCACCTCTCCTTCCCCCCCAGGATTACCGCATCTCACAGGAGTTACCCCCAGGGCTCCTGTCGCCCCTTATCTGTACACAGGAGTCTCTCAGCCTCTCATTTTGATATCCGCCCCCCCCCCCCCACCGAGCACTTTGACAAAGAGAGATGATAAAAGGATGAGTAAGCACGCTGCAGCTGATCTTGGTCAAAGAGCACAGACCCTGGCACCGACTGTGGAAAATGGGGGTGAAGAAGCAGAAGGGAAAGCGAAGTCGGGGAGTTCGGCCAATGAGCAGGCAGTTACCAGCTTTCCCAGGGCAATTTGTATCACCTCCTTCTGCAGTCACCACAGACTCCGAACCCCTGCCCTCGCCACCCCCACCCCACTGTGGTCAAGTGCGCCCTTTTCCTTGGACAGCTGCTTCTTAAAAACAACACAGAAAGATAAAAGTAATTTTTCCAGACTTCCGGTTGCCAAAGACAACAAAAACCTCACCCTGAAGCATGGTTAAGTTCAACGGTTCTGTTTTCTCCCTCGTTTTCCGGCATTCTGTCCACCACCTCCCACCCCAGACCACCTCTGCTCGGGGTGGAAAAAGCGACAGCCACTCTCAGTTTCAAATATAAGTCAACCTTTGGCGGGGGTGGCAAGGGGTACTTTTGAATTACTTCGACATTCTAGTTACAAGTATCTGACCTTATTTTTTCCCCCCAAAAGAAAATACAGGGCACCAAGAGGGCAGAAATTTCCCTTTCTCTGCCCTCCGACTTCGGTCGCTGGCAGGATCGGGGGGCTTCCGAAGCGGGAGGTTGGGGGAGGGCTCTTTCGAGTTTCTTCCTAGGAAACTGGCCCTCAGCAGCCAAACGTCCTCTGAGCTCCCGGGTGTGCTTTAAAATGTTGAAACTTCACAAGACAGAAAAATTACGGCTAAGGTGAGACGTCCTTTGTTGAAGCCCCACTGGTTTTAATTTGGGGTGGAAAAGGCCACCAGCAACAATCACGGACTGCTCGCCGCGGGGAGGGGGGACAGGTGCGACTCCGGGGCTGTGGAGGGCCCTGCGGCGGGCGGCGCGGCGGCCAACCCGCACCGCCGGCCCGGCCCGACCCGAGCCGAGCGCCCGTCCGCCCGCGGCCTCCCACACGCGTCCCCCTCGCTGCCCCGCGGGCCCGGCCGCGCCGCCGGCCTCCGCTCCAAGATGGAGGTGGCGGCGGCGGGCGGCCGGTTANTCTCCCATTGGGGGGGCGGGCGGTGAAGAGGCGGGCCCGGAGGCGGGGGCTGCTTTGCCCGGGAGCTAAAAATAAACCCCGACTGGGAGCGCGCGGCTGGGCGCGGGTGAAGTTTGAAGGCTTCGAACTTCGGAAGGGCTGGAGGCAGGTGGGAGGGGCGGAGAAAAGTTACCTCCCCAGGGATTGGTTAGATCGCGGGGAGGGGGCGTGGCTACGCGTGGGAGGCGCGGTGATTGGTGGGCAGCTGAACTCTTAAAAGGCACGAGGCGCGTGGCGGGTGCCTTGCTGGGCTGTTGGTTGCCCAGTATCATCCTCGTGTGTGTTTATTTGTTTTTGTTTTAAAACTGCTGCATTGGCTTTCGTGAATCTAGGTTGGAGGATGTAGGTGATGACGAAGCATCAGCCATGGGTGAAGGACAATGGGAAGAACGGAGGATGCGTTCATTGAAAATGTGAACGGGTTTCATGAAAAAAGCGTTCTCCTCAGTTCTCATGCATCTCCTCAGTTCTGGTCTTAACCCTGGCGTTTGCGGAGGCCGCACACCTCACGGGAAAGGAACAGCGCCGGGTCGACGCAGCTTTTAACTGTCAACGCCTGCGTGGCTAATTGAAAGTAAGGCAGACTTAACCCGCCGTTGTTGGCTGAGAACTCACCAGAACTGTCCTTCCAGCGGGATTTAAGACCGGTGAGCCGGGGCTCTGGCGTGGGCTGACCTCTCCGCTGAAGAAGGAACGCTGCTGTATTTCCCTCCAGAGGTGCCCTGACAACCCCGTTTTCAGTGGTGCTGGTGAAGGGTGTCTGGGGGTAGCACCAGTCTTGGAGTGCAGGGAGGGACACCAGCTCAGGGGGCCTGGATCATGCGACAAGAAGATGAAAACCGGGCCCAAGAAAATAGGATGCGATTAGAGCCTTCTATCATGCTAGGTGTACTTGTCCATGGAGGTTGCTGAAGAAGCAGATACCTGCTACTCGGACCACAGTCCCTCTGTCATCCTCGGGCTGTTTGGCAGTGTTGACCTGCCTGGATAAGGGGGACCACTGCTCTCTGGTCCTGGCCTCGCCCAGTGAGCACCGAGGCGAAGCCCCCAGGAAACTGAGCGGCAAGGGCAGGATTCCTGGGTTAGGAAGATTTGGAGGTGACAGTCCCTAGACTGTCGCGGTGTTGGGTTTAGAACACCGACGTTGGGGCAGAATCCTTCCACTGTCCCTCTAAGTACTCACTGGAGAGGGCGAGTGCACATTCAGGTCCTGAGGGGGTATGGTCTTACAGTTGAAGCCCCAGGCCACCAGCTGGACACGAGAAAACCTTTCAAGTTGTCTTTGATGTTAATTGATTTTTGCATTCAGCCCTGTAATTAGTTGAAATATTTAAACAATTCAGGCCTTAAAATGGACTCGCCAGGAAAATGTATAAATTTTTGTCCTGTGAATTGGGTGCCTCTCCTGCAGTACTTTTTCCAGGTGGCATAGTGGTAAAGAATCTGCTTGTGGAAGCAAGAGACACCGGGTTCTGTCCCTGGGTCAGGAAGTTTCCTGGAGTAGGAGATGTCAACCCGCTCCAGTATTTTTGCCTGGGAAATTCCGTGGACAGAAGAGCCTGGCAGGCTACGGTCCATGAAGTCATAGATTGCGGTGTGACTGAGCCAGTACCCACTACTTTATTTCGAACTAATGGTACCAGACTCCCTGGTAGGTTGTGAAATCAGCTTAGTGTTTTTTTTTTTTTTTTTTAAATAGAAGAACAGAATAGAAAATAGTTCCTTGCATAGTAATGGTGAGTACTGTTTCATGACACTTTTGTTGTGTGTGTGCAGATGTTTATATATGCTATGTATATATGTAATGTGTACTGCATTCCATTGTAATATGTATTTCTTTCTATGTGTTGCCCTCAAAAGTTTGAAAGCACCGCCCTAGCCTGAGAAGTCCAGACTTAAGAGTCCAGACCGAGAAGTGCAGTTGTAAATGACAAATTCATTCACGAAATATTCCGGTTGTGTTAAAGCCCTTTAAGACCAGACCCTGGAGTTCTGAAGATTCCTTTATTCCAGAATGGGGAGAATTTCCTTGGTTTAAGAAATGACTCAGATGACCTGAAATATTTGGGATTGATGAATGAATTCACTTGGAAATACTTGACGGCTGCCAGACCATATAAGAGACCGGATGGGAAATGCAGGCAGGGCCTTATTGGGGCTCCTGCTGCAGCAAGAAGGAGAGAGAGAAAGCAACAAGTGCCCTTGCTTGTGGGGGAGGGGTGGCTTGGTGATCTGCCCATCCCCTTGGTGATGATGGGTGCAGGGATCACCTTTTTTTCCTCCTGACACTCAGAAGCAACCATTGGGTTTTGGCCTTCTTGTCCCTCACTGTTGATAATTCTCCCCTACAGTGCATGGGTGCAGCTATCTTTCAGTTCAGTTGCTCAGTCAGGTCTGATTCTTTGCCACCACATGGACTGCAGCACACCAGACATCCCTGTCCATCACCAACTCCCAGGATTTACTCAAAACTCACATCCATTGAGTTGGTGATGCCATCCAAACCATCTCATCCTCTGTCATCCCCTTCTCCTGCCTCCAGTCTTTCCCAGTGTCAGGGTCTTTTCCAATGAGTTGGTTCTTCGAATCAGGTAGCCAGAGTATTGGAGCTTCAGATTCAGCATCAGTCCTTCCAGTGAATATTCAGGACTGATTTCCTTTAGGATGGACTGGTTTGATCTCCTTGCAGTCCAAGGGACTCTCAAGAGTCTTCTCCGACACCACAGTTCAAAAGCACCAATTCTTTGGTGCTCAGCTTTCTTTACAGTCCAACTCTCACATCCATGCATGACTACTGGAAAAACCATAGCTTTGACTAGACGGACCTTTGTTGGCAAAGTAGTGTCTCTGCTTTTCAATATGCTGTCCGCTTTTTAATATGCAACTATCTTTAGTCTCCTGTAGTTTCTTTGTATTCTGTTAGATGAGAAGACATCTGTCCAGGTGCAGGCACTGCAGGAAAGGGTCCAAGGTCCCAGTCTATCTCAGAATGTGTCCCCCACACAGATATGTCAAAGTCCTAACCCTCTCAAAATGTAATCTTATTTGGATACAGCTGTTGATGATATAATTGGTTAAGATGAGGTCAAACTGGAGTGGGCTTCCATGATGGCTCGGTGGTAAAGTATCCACCTGCAGTGCAGGAGCCGCAGGAGACACAGGTTTGATCCCTGGGTGGGGAAGATCCCCTGGAGCAGGAAATGGCAACCCCCTCCACTATTCTTGCCTGGAGAATCCCATGGACAGAGGAACCCTGGCGGACCACAGTCCATGGGGTGGCAAAGAGTCAGATGCCACTGAAGCAGCTTAGCAGCAGCAGACTAGAAGAGAGTGGGCCCTAATCCAACATGACTGGTTTCCTCAGAGAGAAGATGAGACACATGCACACAGACATACCCACCCACCGATGTGACGATGGAGGCAGGCTGGAGCGATGCGCCTCCCTGGAGACTTCAGAGGGAGCGAGCCCTGCTTCCCTCTGAAGTTGGGGGCTGTTTATACTTCTAGACATCAGAACTGTGAGAAAATAAGCCTCAGTTTACAGTACCTTGTTAACAGTAGCCCTGAAAAAAGAACCCATCACCGGTCCTCAAGTTGTTAGTAGACTTTCATTTAAAGTTTGACTCTAGTTTCCGCCGGGCTGTGGATGAAACTGATCTCCTTCCCAACACACCAAGCCAGCGTGCACCTCCTGGGAGTGTTTCCCTAGGCGGGGTGCTAGCTGTCCTGCAGAGCAAGTCCTGAGGGTCCCTGTGTGGTCATCGGGCACGATGACAGAAGGGGAACACCATGCTCCTAAAAGCTGGCACAGCAGTACCCGGGCACGCTCCGGGACAGCAGGAGGCCAGGTCCTTGCAATAAAATGTGCTGGCTTGGCCAGCAAGGCTTTGATTATGACTACATATGCTCTTCACGTGTACCTTAGATGTGGAATTTAGTCACATGCTTATAAGCCACTGAAAGTTATAATTATGGTTTGAGGGACCATTCACCATGGTTCCTCCTCCTGTGTGAAGTGTTCTCAGTGTTGGGCTTTATCCAGTGTTTTGGGACCTGGAGACTTTCTAACATTATTGTGCAGGGAGAAAAAAAAAAAACTTCCTGTAGGTTTTTTTTTTTTAACGTTTTTATTTATAAATAAAATAATTGAGCATGGAAGAACTGATGCTTTCAGATTGTGCTGGAGAAGACTCTTGAGAGACCCTTGAACTGCAAGGAGATCCAACCAGTTAATCCTAAAGGAGCTCAACCCTGAATATTCATTGGAAGACTGATGTTGAAGCTCCGATACTTTGGCCACCTGATACAAACAGCCGACTCATTAGAAAAGACCCTGATGCTGGGCAAGATTGAGGGCAGGAGAAGGGGGTGACAGAGGATGAGATGGTTAGATAGCATCATTGACTCAATGGACATGAATCTGAGCAAACTCCAGGAGATAGTAAAGGACAGGGGAGCCTGGTGAGCTGCAATCCATGGGGACATGACTTAGTGACTGAACAAAAAAACCTATGTAATATATGAATTGACCATGGCATATTCATGGCAACGTGTTGTGACTGGGATAAGAGGTGTCCTAGTGGGGTTTCCACAATGGGGAGGGGCCATCCATGTTGCCCTCACTGTTCAGTGTATAAAATATTGTAATGGATTCCTTTTCACCTGTATAGTTCTGAGGAACTGCAGAACGTATTACCTCGGTTCTGCTAAACTGAATCTCACAGAGTGGTCATGGGCCTTAAAAGTTTTCCATTCTCTTACACTGTTGGTGGGAATGCAAACTAGTACAGCCACTATGGAGAACAGTGTGGAGATTTCTTAAAAAGCTGGAAATAGAACTGCCATATGACCCAGCAATCCCACTTCTGGGCATACACACCGAGGAAACCAGATCTGAAAGAGACACGTGTACCCCAATGTTCATCGCAGCACTGTTTATAATAGCCAGGACATGGAAGCAACCTAGATGTCCATCAGCAGATGAATGGATAAGAAAGCTGTGGTACATATACACAATGGAATATTACTCAGCTATTAAAAAGAATGCATTTGAATCAGTTCTAATGAGGTGGATGAAACTGGAGCCTATTATACAGAGTGAAGTAAGTCAGAAAGAAAAACACCAATACAGTATATTAATGCATATATATGGAATTTTAGAAAGATGGTAACAATGACCCTATATGTGAGACAGAAAAAGAGACACAGATATAAAGAACAGACTTTTGGACTCTGTGGGAGAAGTCAAGGGTGGGATGATCTGAGAGAATAGCATTGAAACATGTATATTATCGTATATGAAACAGATTGCCAGTCCAGGTTTGATGCATGAGACAGGGTGCTTAGGGCTGGTGCACTGGGATGACCCAGAGGGGAGGGATGGGATGGGGAAGGATGTGGGAGGGGGGTTCAGGATGGGGATGACATGTACACCTGTGGCTGATTCATGTCAATGTATGGCAAAAACCACTACAATATTGTAAAGTAGTTAGCCTCCAACTAAAATAAATAAATTTAAAAAAATTAAAAAAAAAGTTTTCCACTCAAAAAGCCCATGAATTATTGATGAGAATAAAAATGCAATGTAAGTATACACTAAGAAAAATAACAGGCTGCACTTCTTCCTTGTGTGGGCTCTTTGCCAACAATGTTAAAGGTAAACATGGTAACCTAATCTTACCAAATCTTACTAACCTAATATCTTACCAAAAAATGATCATTTTTCCAAAAAGGTAAAAATTGACAAGGGGCTTCCCTGGTGATGCAGTGGTAAAGAATCCACTTGCCAATGCAAGAGACCTGGGTTCGATCCCTGGGTTGGGAACTGCCCTTGGAGAAGGAAATGGAAACCCACTTCAGTATTCCTGCCCGGGAAATCCCATGGACAGAGTTGCCTGGTGGGCTATAATCCATGGGGTTGCAAAGGGTTAGATACGACTTAGCAACTAAATTCGTGCAAAAATTGACAGGAGCATTAAAAATATGAATTCATATCCACTATCGTTAATGATGACAGCATAATTACACCTTGATATTAGCTAATAATGTAGTAAATATTCCCTTAACAAATAGTGAGATGTTAAAAAAACTGAGCATCCAAAACACTAAGGCAGATTTTACAAATTTTTCTGCAACTTTTTTTCCCCTTTGGAAAATTTCAAGCATGTACAAAGGTAGAGAGATTAGTGCAATGAACCCCAGACCACCCATCCCCTGCTTCATTCAGTATTTACCGAGTCATGGACACTCCTATTTCCTGTCAACTATTTTCCCACACGTGGATTATTTTGAAGTAAGTCCTACATGTCATACCATTTCAAATTCATTTAAGTATTTTCTCTGAAAGATGACTCTCTGTGTGTGTGTGTGTGTGTGTGTGTGATCTTAATTCCTCTACTGGGGACTGAATCCAGGCCCACAGTGAAAGTGCAGAGCTCAAACCACTGGACCACCAAGAAAGTCCCTAAAAGATGACTCTTTAAAAAAAAAAATATGCCATTTTCACTCTGAAAAACAAAGAAGCCCATTAAGGAATCCTTAGTACCACCAAACAGCCAGACTATTCCAATGTCTCTTAATGCATCATCATTTTCTTTTACAGTTTGTTTAAATCAGAATCTAAATAAAGTTCATATGATGTAATTGGTTACTATATCTTGTCTTTTTTTTTTTTTAAGTAAACTTTATCTTTTAGATGTACAGGGTAATTGGGAAGATAATGTAGAGGATTCCCACATATTCTAGACTCAGTCTCCTCCCTCTCCCCCATTATCAATAGCTCACATTAGTGTGGTACTATTTGTTACAATGATCAATACAGGTTAGTTATTTCTTACTGACTAAATTTCATACATTATTCAGATTTCCCAGTTGTCCCCTAATGCACTTTTTCCAGGATACCCTGTTCCAATGAATTGTCATGCCTCCTTAGGCTCCCCTTGGACATAACCATTTCTCAGACTTTTCTTGTTTTTGATGACCTTGAAAGTACGAGGCATGCTCTCAGGCATGATTTTGTAGCTTGTTCCTCAATTGGGATTTGTTTGATGTTTGTCTCAGACATGAACAGGGCTGTGCGGGTTTTGGGAGGAAGACCACAGAGGTGACATGCCATTTTCATCTCATCAAGGGTGGATCGTGCCCATGTGACCTGCCACTGTGGATGCTGTCCTGGATTGCCTGTCCAAGGTGGCAACTGTTGGCTTCCACACGGGTGAGATCCTCTTTCTCCCCTTCCATGCTGTGCTCTTTGGAAGGGGGTCACTATGCAGCCTTCAGGGACTGGTGAGTCAAGTTATGCTTTTCCTTAGTTGCCTTCTGCCTGAAGAATTTCTTTTAGCATTTCTTGTAGTCTCCTGGCAACAAATTCAGCATTTATTTATCTGAAGGTTGTCTTTATTTCTTTTAACTTTTTAAAAATGGATTTTTCCCCTATTTTTAATTAAATAATTTTTTTGGCTGCCGGGGTCTTCACTGCTTTTCAAGAGCTTTCTCTGTTTGCGGCGAGTGGGGGCTACTGTTCTCATTGCCGTGGTTCTCTTGTTGCACAGCACAGGCTCTCAGCATGCAGGCATCGGTAATCGCAGCACCCAGGCTCAGTAGTTGGCACTCTCAGGTTTGGTTGCTCCACAGCCTGTGGTACCTCTCCAGACCAGGGATCGAACCCATGTCCCCTGCATTGGCAGGCAGATTCTTACCCACTGTACCACCAGGGAAGTCTCTCTTTAACTTTTTATTTTGAAATAATTATTGATTAACAGCTTACTTAACTTATATGCAGAGGACATCATGAGAAATGCTGGGCTGGATGAAGCACAAGCTGGAATCAGGATTGCCGGGAGAAATATCAGTAACCTCAGATATGCAGATAACACCAGCCTTATNAAGCTCCGGGAGTTGGTGATGGACAGGGAGGCCTGGCATGCTGCAGTCCATGGGGTCAGAGAGTTGGACACGACTGAGCGATGGAACTGAACTGGAAAAAATAGTACAGAGAGGTCCTGTGTAACACTCTCATGATGGAAAATCCTACATAAATGCAGCGTGATTTCAAAACCAGGAAATTGAAATTCTATGATCCACAGAACTCAGAGTACACCAATTTTACATCCACATGTGTGTGTGTAGCTCTGTTCAATTTTAGTACATTTGTGGATTTGTGTTACCGAAACCACAATCAAAATACAGAGTTGTCCCATCATTACAAAGATCTCCCTCATATTATTTTATCCCTCTACATTTTTGAAAGGTTTTTTTTTTTTACTGGATATACAATTTTAGGTAGACAGTGGTATGTGTGTGTATGTGTCTCTCTGCATGTTTTACTATTTAAAGATGTTCCCTTTTCTGCTAGCCTCCATTTTTTCTGTTGAGAAATCAGCTATCATCTTGTTTTTTCCTTTATGTCCTATGTTCCTTGCTACCCATCTCCTTTTTAGATTTTGTCTTTATTTTTGGTGTTTAGAGTTTTACTGTGATATGTTTGTGTATAATTTCCTCTGCTTTAATGCTGTTTAAGGTTTACTCAGCTTCTTAGATTTGTGAGTTACTGTTTCTGATCCAATTTGGAAAACTTCCCAGCCAGCATTTCTTCAAGTATTTTTTTGCCCTATACTCTCTCTTATTCTGGGACTCCAGTTTCACACATATTAAGCAATTTGATAGTTTTCTACCAGTCACTAAGCCTCTGTTTGTTCTTTCATCTATTTTTTTTTCTGATTTCTAATTTAATAATTTAAAAAATTTGGGGTAACATAGTCTTCAGTTCTAGGATTTCCATTTGATCCTCTTACAATTTTCACCTCTGTCCTGAAGTTCTCCTATCTCTCCCCAACATATACCTGTTTTCTGTAGGTTCTTTAACATACTTATCACAGTTATTTTTAAATCTTTGCTAATTGTAATGTCTGAATCCCTCATCAGTTCAGTCCAGTCACTCAGTCGTGTCCGGCTCTTTGCCACCTCATGGACTGCAGCATGCCAGGCCTCCCTGTCCATCACCAACTCCCAGAGTTTACCCAAACTCATGTCCATTGAGTTGGTGATGCCTTCCAACCATCTCATCCTCTGTCGTTCCCTCCTCCTCCTGCCTTCAATCTTTCCCAGCATCAGGGTCTTTTCAAATCAGTCAGCTGTTTGCATCAGATGACCAAAGTATTGGACTTTCAGCTTCAACATCATTCCTTCCAATCAACATTCAGGGCTGATTTCCTTTAGGATGGACTGGTTGGATCTCCTTGCAGCCCAAGGGACTCTCAAGAGTCTTCTCCAACACCACAGTTCAACTCTCACATCCATACATGACTGCTGGAAAAACAATAGCCTTGACTAGACGGACCTTTGTTGGCAAAGTAATGTTTCTGCTTTTTAATATGCTGTCTAGGTTGGTCATCACTTTCCTTCCAAGGAGCAAGCATCTTTTAATTTCATGGCTGCAGTCACCATCTGCAGTGAATTTGGAGCCCAAAAAATAAAGTCTGCCACTCTTGGCACTATTTCCCCATCTATTTGCCATAGGTCTGCTTTTTTAAAAAAATTATGTATTTTGGCTGTGCTGGATCTTCATTGCTTCGCATGGGCTTTCTCTAGTTGCGGCGAGCAGGGGCTACTCTTCATTGTGGTGTGCGGGCTTCTCATTGCGGTGGCTTCTCGTTGCAGAGGATAGTCCTTAGGTATGCGGGCTTTAGTAGCTGCAGCCCTGGGCTCAGTAGTTGCAGCTCCAGGGCTCTAGAGCGCAGGCTCAGTAGTTGTGGCACGTGGTCTTAGTTGGTCTGAAGCATATGGAATCTTCCCAGACCAGGGATCGAACCCCTGTCCCCTGCATTGCAAGGCGGATTCTATCCACTGTGCCACCAGTGAAGTCCCATAGGTCTGCTTTTATTGAATGACTTTTCTCTTGATTATAGGTCATTTTTGTTTGTTTGTTTCTTTTCACATCTACTAATTTATATTTTATAGTGGCCATTATGGATGAAATGAATCTTGATATTACAGTAGTTTTATCCCTCTAACCTTGTTCTTCTTTTTCAATGTTGTTGTGACTAATCTAAGATCTTTGTCTTTTCATGTGCATTTCAGAATCAGTTTGTCAGTTTCTACAAAAACGCCTGTTGGAATTTTGGTTGGCATTGTTTTGAATCCATAATCAATTTTGGGAGGACTTACATTTTAGCAGTATTGAGTCTTCTGACCCATCAGTAAGGTGCATCACTCCCCTTGTTTGAGTCTTTATTCATTTCTCAGCAGTATTTAGTGCCTTTCAGTGTATGGGCTATATGTATCTTTTATCAGATTTATTCTAAGTATTTCGTATTTTGATGCTATTATAAATGGGATTTGGAGTAGGAAACGGCAATCCACTTCAGTATTCTTGTCTGAAGAATCCCGTGGACAGAGGATTCTGGCGGGCTACTGTAGTCCATGGGGATCCAAACAGTCAGACACGACTAAGCATGCACACATGTAGTACTTAATATACTACACGTCAGACTGTGGCCTAAGCATTTTATGGGCATTAACTCATTGAGCTTTTAAAACCTTCATAACATCCCTAGAGGGGGCTTCCCAGGTGGCACTAGTGGTAAAGAACCTGCCTGACAATGTAGGAGATGCAAGAGATGTGGGTTTGATCCCTGGGTCAGGAGGATCCCTTGGAGGAGCACATGGAACCCACTCCAATATTCTTGCCTGGAAAATTCCATGGATGGTGCAGCTTGGCAGGCTACAGTCCATGGGGTCGCGAAGAGGCAGATGTGACTAAGTGACTGGGCACACATAAATGGGATTTAAGTTTTTCTATTTTTGATTGCCTGTTGCTTGTATACAGAAATACAGTTGATTTTTGACTACTGATTTCTTATCCTAAAACTTTGCTAAACTCACTAGTTTTAGTAGATCTTTTTGTAGAAGTCCGTTAGCTTTTCTGTGTTGATGATCATAGTTTTTACTGGTTGCTTTTCATTTCAGATGCTTTGTATAATTTTCTTGTCTTATTGCACTATGATCCTGAATAGAAGTGGGGAGAGCAGATACCCTTGTCTTGTTCTTGACCTTGGGGAGTAAGCAGTACACATTTCACCATGAAGTGTGGTGTTTATTTGCTTGAGGACAAGATATAGTTGGTTCAGACTCTCCTACCTTAGCAAGAGATGTCTGTATCTGAAATCATCTTGAAAAAATAAAAAAACAACATTGGTATGCCAGTCTTATTCCAGAAATGGCCTATCAACAAGGCAAGGACTTCTGTTTTGAGTAAATACTCCAGGGCTTGAACTCCTGCTCTGCCTCATAAAATCTGCACAGCCCCAAGCAAGCCACACAACCTCCCTGTGCCTCCAGAGTCCAGCAATGGGCCCGGTGAGGCTCCCCAACAAACGCTTGGGGAGGCTTTGCCTGTCTTCTTGCCCTTTACTTTGCATTCCTTCTTTTCTCTTTTGGGACTGGATTAAATACTTGATTCTGTCTTCAGTGTGTATTCTCTCATGCAGTATATGAGATGGCATTGAATATAAACTTTCCTCATAGCCTTGTTTTCAAATTATTCTATGATATCTACTTTTCTCTGAATTCTTTCATAATATCAGTTCATATTGTGTTACTTGTTCTTTAATGTGGTTTTTGTTGAAGATTTCATCTCCAAGGAAAGGCCAACTTTCCTTTGATTTTGATGGAGGAGAGATTAGCTACATAAGTCTTTTGAAATTAAAGCGAGTCAACCAAAACACAAACATGAAAGGAGTATCGAATGCTTCCATGAGCTGAAAAGGTTCCCATCCCAGAACTTCTAAAGCTGGGAAGGCTCTTTTGCTTGACCTTGAAGAAGGTGGCTGGGAAGAAGAGAAAACCAGCTACAGTAGTTAAGAGGGGAGGGGAACAGCCAGCTGGAGACAAACCAATGAAAAGCCTTAGAGGCAGCACTTGGCTGGAGGAAGAAAGAGATCTGACTGAAGCGTGCTAGACAGAGGTCTTCCCTGAGCTGGGCAGCGCCAGGCTTGGTTCAGAAGTTTCCTTTGTTAGGGGGATGGTCAGCATGACCAAGGTCAGGGTCAGAGAGGAAACTTACAAAATGGGTTGGAAGTTAAAAAATAAATTAAAAAAGTTGAAAAGGTGATGTGCCCAGATAAACGACAAGAAAGAAGCTTGAATTGATGGTGTGTAAGAAAATTTGGCTGTGAATTTCCTTCCATGAGAATTATAGTTTTTAAGATTAATGCA